ATCTTGATGTATGGAGTAACAGCAACCACAAGAAAAGAATGCGTAGTATAGCATTCCCTTACATTGGAAAGCACTTTGGTGGGGTGGAGGGTGTTTGGAGATTCTGAATTAATTTGCATTGTCATTGGAGCAAGATGGAGCTTTCCGCCAGCTGTTCACTGTACAGTTAGGAGATCGGCAGTGAGACTGGGCTTCGGATTTCACTTTCAGAGAAGTGCTTTGGGGAGTCACAAGTACATTGATAATGGATATACAATTATCCCTCTTTCCCGGATGAAGAAACTGGGGCTCAGAAATGTTAACTTGTCAAACATCAGAGCTAGATTTCTAACCCTGATGTTTTTTTCCCACATTACATTCTTGTGACTTGGACCTGAAACCTGCATCCTCTCCATGGGGTCAGCCCTTTGGCCTGAAAGTTGTATAAACACTTGCTCAAGGATTTTGTAATGTTTTCCTTGTGTTATAGTTTTGCTGCCCTTCGTTCATGTTTATCTTTTTCCCCTGAAATCATTCTCTGGCCACTTCAGCCAGAATTTTCCTTCCAAAGGAAAGGGGATGACCCAAATCTTTTACTCATACTTAACATTCTATTGAGCATAGCAAGCATAACCTTCAGCTATGCTGCTCTGCCATGGCTTCCTTAAGAGGCCAGGTGTTCCAGTATTCTTTCCAGGGAGATCCGTGCCTGCTCCAACCCAGGCAACTGGGGAAGGAAGGACAGCATCCACTTAGGCCTCTTCAGAGGTTCAAGGAAATATGAGTATGATGGCCACCATTAAGAGGTCTGACTGTGTGGCCAGGCTTACCAAAGCTGCCTTTGTGGTGGATCACCCACCCAGTGATGGGGTGGGAGTGGGGGTGGGACTGAACAGGTAGCAGGAAAGAGCTCTAGGAGTGTCACAGTATGGTCAAGCTATTCAGGAGGTCTCCTAAAGCAGGTATATAGGAGGGACTTCATTTAGCCTGTGTGTGAGGGAGAATATGGACAGGGTATAGTTTGAAGGGGCTTACATTACGTAGCAGCTGCTTATAGACCTGTTTTCCTCTCAGCCTCCTTGGGTTTCTTCGTTTCAAGTGTTTCCGAGACTTGCACATAATATTTCCATTAGTGATAAACAGATATTTTCCTGAAATAGCAAAATATTGGACTTTTCCAGAGAGAGGCAAAGGGGCCAGAGTCCCACCTCAGTTATGAGCAGCTGATCTGGTTGTTAAAGACTCATGTGTGGCATTAACTTCTAGATTTTTGATCACTTTCGGTGGCTGTTTAATAGAGAGGACACTTCCCCCAAACCTTAAAGTCTTCTTTTGACAGTCAAGGTGAATGGTTTTGGTGCTTTCTGAAATGCAGTGGGATGTAATGAAGAGATGGGGAAGTATATGACAGGAACCAAGGGCTGGAACTGCCAGGCTTATGTGGTACAGTCCTTGGTGGGTGAAAGTACAGGAGTCATCCTCTGAGGGGAAGTCACCAGGCAGATCCTGGAGGGGATTCAGCTAAGTTCCGCACCATTACTTACCATGAAAGTATATTCAGGAAGCAAAGAAGGGTGGTGGTGAAGGACCCCAGATGCAGGTGTTGTAGAAACAGGACACAACAATAGGGCTGTGTACAAGCTGCCAGCAGTAACTTGACGGCTTTGGATATGTTTAGAGAACCCCTTGTGTTTGTCATTCTTTCCCAGAAACTTCAATGCTGAATGCACTGTCCTTAATCACACGAAGGGCCAGCAGACCCAAGTTCAGAGTTTATTCCCTCCCTCCCCCACAAAGCACTTCAGCCTTGGATTTACCTCCTGGCTCTAGGCTGTTTTAGTGCCAAACAAACTAGATTTTCTCTGTTATTATGCCCTTGGGCAGGAACCTGTCAGGGTTTGTCCCAGGTACTTAGACCTCCAACTACATGCATCCCTCCCTACCTCCCCTTGAGTGTGGGGACAGGACCCTCTCCATTTCCTACTGTGATCTTCATTCCAGGGGACATTCATTTCATGCAGCTGAGAGTCAGTGCAGGTAAGAAACAGGTAACAGGGTTACAGCAGGCTCCTAGATAGGTGCTCCAGAAAGATCTTCCCAATCCCAAAAGGGAGCAAACAGGAAATTCTAGCATTTGGTTTTGACATCTGTCCTATTAACTGTGTGCTTTTGACCAAGAAGGAACACTGTGATACTCCTCTAAAATGACCTCTCAGAATTGTGGGTCGAAGCTCCTTCTCTAGAGAGGAATAACTTTTTAACCTCTCTCAAGCCTTCCCTTAACACAATACAGTGGAGACAAGGAGCAGACAGACAACTCTTTGTTACAGATATAGAGTGTTTTTGGGTGGAGATCTGCCCCACCTGTACATTAATGGAAATGACAGTAACAGTCCTCTTCAAGGGATGCAGAGGTTGGGGAGCCTACAAACTCTTTTTCATTGCCCTGGGGGTACTCAAGCAGACCAGTATTTCTGTCTGAGGTGAGGGTGGGGAGCTAGGTAGGGATTCTTGGTTGAGTGGCACAAGCCACTCGAGGGCAGTGCCGAGGGCAGTGGCGGGGGTGACCCAGAACTGAAGAGCCACGATGTCTGGAGCATAGCCGGAGCTTATTGTCAGGGGAATGAGGAGCATCCAAGGAGGTCTGGCCCACCGGCTTCTCAGTGGGGAAAGATTGGGCCTTGGGATGCCCGGTTGGCTTGTCTGTCTTAGTTTTTCTCATGGAGATTTTGGCTGGAGCCGGTCTTTTTTCAACCTTTTCTTTTCTGGCTTTGACCACTTTCTCAGCTGTAGAGAACATGGATTCCTCATGCCCTTTGCCTTTCATTTTGGAGCTAAAACAGTGCAGAAAGGATTTAATCTTATTTCTTAAGTTAGATTCTGGAATGCTGGGCCTCTTGTGAGTATGGGCTGGCATCACCTGCCCGTGCAATACATGACCTTGCAAAGTTTGGCCCCGCCACTGCTTACCCTGCATTACTTGACTCAGGAAGGGCTGGCCCCGTGAAGCCTGGGACACCACAGGCTGGGCATTCTCAGGAATCCTTGCTGATTCGAGGCTGACATTCATCTCGGTTTGACTGTCTTGCAGGTCATTCGCAGATTGTTTTCCCCCAGGGACTCCTGGAGGTAGTTCTGGGAGTTTAGGCTGAGCGTGATGCTGGAGGCTGCGTCGACAGGGATCAGCAGGATGAAAGTTATGGCTCCATCGCCAGGAGCCTCGGAGTGTCCTGTTCAGAAGCATCCCTGCTGGTTTCTGATCTTCAGCAGGATGTCTTTCTTCTCTGGTTGAGGAGAGCCCCAACCCTGCATCCCCTTCTCCATAGTCCCCTGCTGCTTTGGGTTTTCCTGGGTCCTCTGTCTTTTCTGCCAGCACTGGGACATGGGCTGAGTCCTTGCTCTTGCCAGGGCTTTGGGGCTCAGGGTGCCAGGGTTGCTCCAGGCTGGGGTTGTTCAAACTGGCCTCCACCTGAACACAAAGCACCTGTGCTTCTGCCATGTCCCCACTGGGTTGTGAGACCTCGGAGGCCCAGTGGGCAGAACCGTGGGGCACTGATTTGGAACTAGGTGGCTTTTGGTTGTGCTGCACGGCCTTCAACTCAGTGGCCAGCTGTTCCTTAAGGTGGACCCATTCTGGATCTGGGGCATGAGGAGTATCTGGCGGGAGGGGCAGTTCTTGCAGCAATTTTTTTCCTTGTTTATTTAGATTCCCGAGAGACTCCTGTGTTGATATGTTCTCTGGGACTGTCGTAGCTTGTTCTCTGGACTCCCTTGCCCTTATGGGAATTCCCAGTTGTATCTCTAGGACCTTTTTCCTCACGTGGTAATTTAGTTTGGCCAACATATGTGTCTTGAATGAGAGGAGGCTAGCAGGATGTGTCTGGCTTTCTAGAGGCACCATCTCCCTCGTTCCTTCCACCTGCGCTTCAGGCTGGAACTCTTCTGCATTGTCTGCACAAGTCTCATTGTCATCTCCAACTTGTGGCCCAAGACTTATACCCTGTTCTTCTAATGAGATCACCTGAGTCGGAGGCTCTGCTGGGATTTCAATATTCCCAGGCCCCACCTCTGTGACTACGGATTGGCTAGTGATTTTGGGAGCTATGGCCTTGGAGAGGGTCACATAATAGAGAGCAGGCAGCCCTGACAAGAAGGCCACATACTTGTGACGTAAAGCTGTCTCCAGTTTTTCAATGGCTTCCTTGGACAAGGCTCGGGGCAGCTTAGAGTGGTCACTGACAGCAGCTGGTAAGGCCTGTTGCTGCTGGTCAAGGGCCGCTGGCATACAGGGCATAACATTGTGATGTAGGCTAGGGTCACTTGCTGTCGCAGCTCCAGGGGTTGGCTTTCTGGAACGTAGGGGATCAGAGCCACTGCCAGGCCTCCAGGAAGTGTATAGTCCCAGGAGTTATATACACAGGCAGGGACCTTGCTCTGTTGGATCTGTCCACGCTTAGAGTCAATGTGGCTCTGCAATATTGCCTTGACTTGGGCAAACAAGTGTGGCATGGGGATCGACCCTGGGGCCATAGGTTGGGGAATGCCCACATTGGCTAGAGCTGTGCTGCTCCAGGAAGAGGTCTGCTGGTCAGTGGATGAAAGGAGCAACTGAATGGACTGCTGGATCTTCTGGGGCAGGCCCCAGCGATGGTGAATCAACTGCTTTTGGAGGTGGAATTCCAGCAGCCTCCGGGCATGCTCCGGGAAGAAGAGTAGTTCTCTGGTGAGGACTGAGACAGGCTTCCCTGGCCAGGAAGTTTTCACAGTCTCAGGAGACTGGGCTTTGTCACAGGGCTCATTCTGTATAGGGCTCTGGGAGTGCTGAACTGAGCCCCACTGAAGCTGGAGCTGCCTCTGCAGCAGGTGCCACTCCAAGGCTTCACACTCTGCCAGAGTGAGAAATGGGACATTGATCTGGGATTGATGATGGCTAGATGAGGACACCCCATTTGGGGAAGGTGGAGAAGAGGGTGGAACTGACTGGGGTGGAGTTTTGGGCAGCAGGGGGAGGAAAGAGAGCTCCTTGAAGAGAATAGGACCCTTTAAGTGGGGCCTGGA